CCAAGGGTAAGACTGTTAGAAAATGCAAGAATGTCTGGAGTCCTGGAAGAAAAAGGAGACGTGTATATAATTCAAGATAATATAACTTCTAAGACATGCATTGAATTCGAAGGAAGACAAGATCATACACATCCCTGAACAGAGAAGGCTAGAGAGCAATATAACTGCTGTCAGACTGAAAATAAAATCATCCATTGAGCACTTACCATCTATTAGATGTGTAATCTCATTACTTTTAATAATTTGACTGCTTTTCAAGGCAGGTACCATCACAAAGAAATTTAAGCCTATATAATCATTAAGTAGGTGACTTTTATTTTTTTACTATCTCATGCCCCATCTTACATCCTGTGCTCTTAGTATCTTATAAAGACTAAAATTTTTATGTGACAGTAGGGATAATTTCAATGACAAAAGCAGTGATTCCTAACCTTGACTATAACCACAGTTTGAGTGAGCTGTGCTTTGTAGGGTGGTCATTTGTTGCCCTAATCATTACCCACCAGATAAGAGTCGCCACCCCTTCTCCCCAATATGATAGTAAAATAATTTTTCTAGAAACTGCTAAATATCCCTAAGGAAAATAACCCTTCACTGAGAATGACTGTTCTAAAGTATAACCAGAATAGTCATTTATCTCCCCCTATCACCTGCCAAAGGAGCAGAAGCTAAGAGCAGCAGCTTCTTGATGCCTTCCCCTACTAACCAACACACCCTGAGTTTGAGTGACACAGACACACAGTGGACCTGACTCTGGCATCTATCTGCCCATAACGACATCACATACAGCACCAATACTGGAACAATGCATGCTTTTCAAACTGTCATCAAGTTCCCAGGGGTCTATGAAGGCATTTTAATGAACCTACTGGAGCCTAGCATCCCATATGGTCCCCCGAGTACCGCCAGGAGTAATCTCTGAGTGCAGAGCCAGGAGTAACCCCTGTGCATCGCTGGGTATGACCCAAAAAGCAAAAAAAAAAAAAAAAAAAAAAAGAAAGAAAATTAGCCCTGAGTTGTCTTCGCTTTGGACTGTGGCAAATTCATTGCTGATCAAGATGTAGTTTCAACAACCCCTAGAAAATTTAGGAGGCAAATACATACTTTGGGGAACTTTGATAGGACCATGAACTTTGGGTGATATTTGAGAGGGTAGAAGCTGCAGCACAACTCAAGGGAAAGCAGGACTTGACTCTCCTTAGCCGCAATGGAGGAGGTCTAATTTTCTTCCCTAGGATAAGATTTTTTTTACTTTTCCTATTAGCATGAGAGCAAGTTCCTGAGGAACAATTTGTCCTGTCATGAGTAAAAAAAAAGAAAAGCTATACTAGAGAGTCCGTTTTGGTATCCTGCATAGAGAGATAATATGATATGATTTAAAAAAGAATAATGGATGTTGGAATCTGGCCAAACTGAGTTAGAAATACAGTTCTTGAACTGGCCTTATATGACCTTGACACATACTTGGCTTAATGTTTTTACCCATCAGAGTTCTAGTTTGGCAAATGAAGTTTTTTTTAAAAAATGCAGCCTTACTGAGTTGTTGGAATGATTCAAAGGAACCCTGAGCATTCTAAAGGTAAGTATCCAACGAACAGTAAGCAGTGCCAGGCCTTCACCCAAAGGCAGTTTGCACTATTAGTAATGGTCGAGTTGCATTGGGAAGTCCCTTGCATGCCTCCGTGAAACACCAAAAATGTCCTGATATCCAAGAACACTTTTCTTGGCTGACTCTAGCAGGACTGTTTTGCCTTATTTCAGTATATCTCAGCATAATGCTTTCTGCTCCTCCTTTCTTTCCTAAACAGCACACTTAAACCAGCAGCTCTTAAAATCTAGTACTAATCACAAATAACCTATTCTTCCTGGAAACATGCAAAAACTTTTACATGAATTTTATCAGGTTCAGTGACCACTTGAAAACTATCACACGCCTGCCCTGTATGGTGCCTGGTTTAAGAGACTTATAAATACCCAATCAGAAAATGCTATGTGAGCAAATGCATTTCTTAGGACTATTAAGACACCTACGCAGCAGCATCTATACTATAAGGCAACCATAACTCTGACATTCTACATATCATGGAAGAAAAAAGAAAAAATGATGTGTAATATTTGAAGTCAAGAGGAGGAAGGGTTTTTACATGGTCTCAGGCAAAGGTTTATAAATTTCAAAGAAATAAAAAGAGAATCCAATTCTCAAAAGAAGCCAAACCTAGAAGATCACTATCCTTTCAAAGTTCCCCAAAGAAAACCCACCCTGTACACACATACTAATTTTCCTACTGAAGGTGGAAGTCACAAAGGTTTCTAGTAAAAGAAAACCTCCATCAAAGGATCCGGGAAACAATATAATATCAGAGATCCACAAAGTATTATGGGAAATTAGCTAGTGCAATTAAGTAATTAGAGGTAATATCTGATTTCAGAAGGGTTATGACCTAACTTTGAATTTGCCATATTAACCACAGCTAGCAGTCAGCTTGTAATAAACTTTCTTTACACTTGGGGGGTAAAGAAAATAACAATGGTTAACAAACAAGGTACCAAAGCAAAAAGAATGGAACATGCTTCATTTTTGTTTCAAAAGGATACTAGCTAAAATGGATGAATTGTGACTTTAACATGACCAGACAGGTTTGATTTGAATACTACCACTGGGACTTATTGATAAAATACCTAGTATATTATGAACCCTTGTTTTGTATGTGGAGCAAAGTATAGAAAGACCAAAGTGATGAGAGTATATATATACTTGAGGTAAATTTATATGGCCTTTCCATTTCAATGCTAGGTTGAGAGGAGGGAGAACAGTAGCACAATGAGGTAGCTATGAATGAAGACTGCCTATACTATCTGTGTTAAGTCTGTGACTGGGTTTAAAGGCTTAACATGCATTTTATAAAACTAATCTACAGCTGTTCTCTGACTAGACAAAGCAGAACCAGGCTGGATGGATGCATCTGTCTTTACTTAGCTGGAGTAAAAGGAAGTGCTCATTTAGTAAGTGTCCACTCGAAGGGGGCATTGGGAGAAGTAAAAACTAAACTGTTGACTCAAGTAGGATTATTTGAGGGATAAAGTGGATGAAAAGGAAACTCTGAGAAGCCCTTCATAACCATAAAATCTGATGAAAGAAATGGGGGCTGGCTTCCTGTTACAATTTCAGAAGTTTGCCATTAATTCAGAATCAAGAACCACCCCTTGTATGAACTGCTTTAATTTTCTACAGATTGGTTTTATTTTCTCTGCCCATCCACGTTCTAGTGATTAATGATGTAGATCTCTAATTCAAACAGTTGGGACATGTTTCTAGAGAGCCAGGAGAAAATTCTGGGTGGGTAGGGGTGGAGTCAGCAAAGTTACAGAATCACTGTAAGCCATGTGTGTTTGAAGCCCAAGTTAAGGTAGAAAAAAAGAGATGTGGGTGATGTTATGGCCCCAAAACTGAATCCCAAGTAGAATACACTGGACACATCTGCACTGGGCCTCCCATCACATTCTAAATAGCACAGTGCTGCTGTAGAAGCCTTCAGGAGAAATATCTCTTGGGGTACAGGATCCTCAGATCTTAAAAAATATTGTAAATATTTGAAACATTGTATGCCTGGAATTTAACTGTGAATAGCTTTGTAAATCACAGTGCCTTAATGAAAAAAATATTTTTTAATTGAGAAAAATGTGTTCCTATGAAAAGGAAACTTAATGATTTAGTGGCAAGCGTGTCTAATTTTACTTTATCTTTAAAAAAAAAAAAGCCAAAAGAGCATAGGTTGAGATTCTATTTTTCCACTCCAAACTTTTAATAGAAAACTTTTAACTATCAGGGGACAGAAATAATCAGTGGGACTCATATTCCCACTAAGATAATCAGGCTGAAACCTGCACTGAGTGATCCTATTTCAAATTTACAGACACTGATGGCCATCTCTTATCCATAATTTACACAGTAAAAATGTGTACGTTAGTCACCCCTATCTTTCCTTACGTTAACCATACGTTGCCTTTTTTGCAATTAACTCTGTCTTCCCGTTAGCCATGCTTTTTGCTAATGAAATATTTTGCAGGAATTTTTGATAACCCAGAACTACAACAAATTGTTTATTATGTCCACTGGGAAAACATTCCGAGCAAGAAAAATGGCTGGCTGTGTTTCTGTCCCTTACCTAGAAGTGGTAGAGGCCAGAAGAGTATCTTTGCATTTAATTGGGTCTCTCATTTCATAAATCATTCCTGTCCAGATCCTGGTTTTCCATTTAACCTTACTAGCCAAGGTACAAGTCATGCGCCCGGCTCGCACTCAGTTCCCTACCGGGCCGCCAGGATCTCTGCCCTTATGATGACGACGCAGAGATTCAGGAGGCGCCAGAAGGATGGCTGGGTGGGAGTCGGGGAAGGAGAACCACGCAACTGGGAAGGTGTTTATGAAAACACGTCCCCTAACCACACTTTTTTTTTCGAGCAGTGAGGAAACCGGCACCTTGCGTGAGTGTTTAATTAATGCTCTGCTTGGAAGTGCCTTCTCTCCCTCCGACTTCACAGGTAGCAAAAAAAAAAAAGCATCTATGAGCGAGCTTTGCAGCCAGCACGGGAAAATATCATCCAACAGCATCCTTTCCCCTCCCTCGCTCGCTCGCCCTACAGTCAGCTGGTGGCCCACAGGGGTGAGGATTTCACTGCCGTTTTGCCTTCTGCTCCCCCAGCAGACCTAGCCGGGCGCGGTGTGACGCCCCTTCCCCCCTCCCCACGCCCCCGCGCCCCAGGTGGGCAACTGAGCTGGCGACACCACGACCCTCCCTCCCTCCCCCGGCCTCGGGACTCGGCTGCAGAGCCGACGCAGAGGGCGGCCGCTGGGGGGCTCTGGGCGACACGGGGCACGGCGGAGAGCGCCGGGGTCCTGGGGAAGGGGCCGCGACTGACGCCACTGCCGCTCCGGTGCGCGGGGGGCGGCGGGGGCGGCGGCGGCGGGGGGAGCGCGCGACCCCCACCCTCCGGGTTACCTGGCTGCGCGGCGCGGCCGTGCGGGGCTCCAGGGCGGAGGCGGTGGCTGCCGGGCTGCGGCAGGGCGGAACGGCGGCGGCTCCCGGGGCGCGGGCAGGATGTGCTGTCTCACGCTGCGCCCGCCGCGCGGCTCGCCTCCTCCGGGAGCGATCACTTCCTCCCCGCCGCCTCCCGCAGCCCGACTCCCGCGGCTCCCCCCGCACGGCACCCCGCCGAGGGGCTCGCCCCGCCCCCGGCCCACGCCCTCCGCGCCACGCGCCCCTCCCGCGGGAGGGCCCTGGGCTGCGGCTCTCCGGCAACCCCCCACCCCGCGCCCCTCCCACTCACACCCGGCGAGGAGCGCAGCACCCGGGGCAGTTCCACTTGTTCCCTAGGTCAGAGCGAGAACTCACACTTTTTCCTGGCAGCCAAGAGACGAGCTGCAAGGGATGCTGACTTGCCAACGTGGGACAAGTTCAGTCCTGGATAGTTGCTTGAAAGTCATTGAATTAGGAAGAGAACTCAGATCCGTCGGCTACCTAGAGCAAGGCTTATCAATCATTTCTCTATGCAGTCTGATGTTGTCTTTATTTACTTTATCTTGTCTTAAGGAGAAAAAATATACATACAGTTTGCCTATACAAGCTTGCTTCTTGCAAGTCTTGGAAATCTGGATAATCATTCTTGGACTCCCCCAATGCATACCCTCAAACACTTTAATTTTCAGGCCCAGAAATGGACCTGAAGTGATATTCCCATTTTTTGCAAAGTTGGCACCGTTTTATAAATAAGCTTTACATCATGAATAATTCAGTGGCTCAAAATTGAGGAAGTTGTAATACCCTTTTCTACAAAGAAGCTAAAATCCAAGTGAAAATGGACTTTGGTAGTAGACAGGGTGTGGTAACATTGTGCCCCTAAAACTATAAACATATATAGTCTTGTAAACCAATGTCAGATCAATAAAAAATTAATTTTGAAGAAATGCAGATGGAAGTAAAGTCAATATATATTAAAAAGCAAACATAAGGAAATAGCTAAAGCAGTACAACTTGCTGAGAGAATTCCAGTTAGAGCCATCTGGTTGGAGTGGGGGGAGGTTGTAGGAGGACTAGAATTAATATGCATGATATTTGGAATGGATAGATAGACTTTTTAGCAGTAGAATCAGAGGATAGAACATTTTCAGTCATTTTCAAAATTCTAGAGAAACGGAAGTACAATGGGTACAGCAAATGACAAGTGGGCCAGCTTCCTGGAAATGACAGGTTTTGGAGGAGGGAGGAACAGACAGAAGACTTAGGAGATGCTAAAGAGCAGATGAGATATTAGTATCATCATGGATACTTGGGAAAACACAAGGGGGCTACCTAGGTGTAAGAATAAGAGCTGAAAAGAACATAGGAGTGCAAATGTCTTCTCCATTGTGTTTTTGGACTCTTGGGGGTATAGTCAACCAAATGAAATTGCTGGTTCAAATGGATGCTCAATTCCTAACTTCTGAGCAGTGGACTAAAAAAAATTTGAAAAACAAACAATTGAAAAACCAAACAAGAACAAAAAAGGAAAACAAAAAAGTTGAAAAAACCAGTTCGAAGCTCATTATAAAAATCCAAGGCAGAATTTCAAAGGCCTCAAACTTTTAAGCTGTATTCATCTGAATAGGTTGTTATATATGCTAGCAAAAATTAAATCCTCAATAAAAATACTCTATTTTTATCTATCAGTTATCCACGTATATAACAGATACTGGGTATAGGACTAGAGAAGAATAAGTAATAAATGGTCTCTATATCTTAGAGATACAAAATCTAATGGAAAGGAACAAGTGGCGTTACAGCCAAACATCCAATGAAAAGCAGAATAATTGAAGATATTTGCCATGGGAGCTAGATAAGGGCAAAACATATTCAAGTTGGGAACTCTAATACTTTATGATCTGGAACCATATTGTGAGGATCTTATATGTAAGGGTATAGTTTGACCTACAGGTATTTGAGAACGGGGTTACAGAGCAAGTGGAAACAGAGGCATGGTTCTATTTTTATTGATAGATCTTATTCTTTCTTTTAAACATTCTAAAGCTTAAAATAAGAAATTGTGCAGAAAGTACAAAGAATTCCCATATCTCCTTCTATCCCACACAGATTTACCTATACTTAATCTTATATTAATGTAATAGATTTACTACAACAGATAAATTATTATTGATACCGTATTATTGACTAAGGTTCATAGATTACATAAAGCTTTCATTCTGTGCTGCATGGGTTTTGACAATTGCATTGTGTCATGTATTCTTCTTACATTAGCATATAAAACAGTTTCAATGCTTATAAATTCTCCATGCTCCACGACTTCAACTCTGTCTTTCTCAGTTCACAAGATTCCCTAGCAAGTATGGAAATAAAGTGTGCTGGTGGGGATCTAATGACAAAGAAACCCTCATTCACTACTGGTGGGAATGCAGTCTTTTTCAACTCCTATTAAAAGCAATATGGATATTCTCCCAAAAAAGTAGCAACAGAACTCCATGTGACCCTCCATTACAACATTTTGGCATCTACCCCAAAAAAACAAAATTCAAAAGGATACATTTACATCTATATCCATAGAGGGGCTTACTGCCTAGTGATTTTTACTGAACCCTATGGTGCCAGGGTCCCAAGTCAGACATGACTCCCTAATACTTTCCCCTGGGCCCTCTACATTCTTTCTTTTTCTTTATTATTGTAGAAGGTGGGGACACTGGTTCAGAGCTTAATCCTGATTCTGTGCTTAGAGATCACTCTTGGAACTATTCAGGGGACCATGTGAGGTGCTGAAAATTGAACCCAGGTCTGCTATAAGCAAGACACGACAAACATAAACCCAGTAAACTATCTCTCCAGGCCCCCTTTCCTTCCTTCCTTCCTTCCTTCCTTCCTTCCTTCCTTCCTTCCTTCCTTCCTCCTTCCCTCCCTCTCTCCTTCCCTCCCTCTCTCCCTTCCTCCCTCCCTCCATTCCTCCCTCCCTCCCTCCCTCCCTGTTTCCCTTCTTCCCTTCCTTCCTTTTTCCTTCCTTCCCTGAGGATATCTATGTTTCAACACATTTCTTGAAAAATCTATCCAAACAAGTGCTTTTTAGTTGATTTGATGGGTATCACATTGAGAGATTGGAGAGATTGTAAAAAACATAATTATGTGATGCTGGTTAAATTAGTTGTTTATAGTTGCTCAACTTTCATATGCCAAGAAAGTGGTTTTTGTACTGAGTTAGAAAAGAATGCATTTTGCTTCATTCAACAATCAGAGAAGTTAGATCTAATTACGTCCTGTTTATATAAATGTATATACAGAGCTAACAATCAAATGTCCTGTGATGAATCCTTGAGTATTAAAATCAATTGCTAATTTGAATGTTATATTTTCAAAAATAGAATTTACTAAAAATGACTTTGGTTCAAATTACCACAAGGGCCACCCCAGTGGTCCTCAGGGGCATACAGGGGTAGGGGTATGTTCAATTAATGTTTGTGACTTTGAGATGCAGGCATCTGGTGAGGAACACCTGCACTATCTATCCAAGTGTATGATGGACACTTCCATTCAGTGAACAGGACATTGGAATAAGAAAGAAAGGGAAATTTTCATATGAAATAGTGTTTCTCAACATCTACAGGAAAAAAATGCCAATCTAAAATTTTATCTCCCAAAACTCAATCTCAGATCTAATTTGTGGACAGAAATTTAGGGATTAAGAGAAAAAGATTTTTGATAAAATTATCGTAAAATAAATATTGGACACTATAAAATATCCAATATACTTGAGAATATACTTGTTTCATCTTTCAAACTAGTTATTGTTACAAAATTTAAAAGGTTTCCAAGGAGGATTTAAATAACTTAAACATACTGGGAAAATTTCTAACTTGCTAGCTGTTAAGAGGTTGCTTTCCAGGTTTCCAGAGATATCATAAGTTCAGTTACACTGGGATCAGTCTCTCTAAGTGTAAATATAAATCTACCACGCACTAGTTTTTGTATATTCACCACATTTCTAGACTCCTCTGAAACTCAAGTCTCTTAGAAATCTAAGTAGGCAATAATGATATTTGTCTCCTGTGATATTTCATTGAGTTCATCCATGTGAAGGCTTAGCACAAACTTTACCATACAATTAGAAACATATAATCAACATTGACTGTAGTTGCTATTATTAATTCAGTCTCTGTGGAAAATCTGAAGAATAGAACTTTATACACTCTAAGTTCAATATCCAACCTGCAATATTAACAGACTTCAGGGACCACTTTGACCTTCAGATCACTCTCAATCCTTAGATCACAGATTCCCTGCACTCTGACTTTTTATGGCCACAATCTGACCTTCCTAGAGATCCTCTTCACCAAGGTCTAACAAAACTAGTTTTAATTATTTTTATTTTTTTTAATTTTACTAGTTAATTTTTTAATTTTCTTGCATTGGAAGTTGAATACAGGTCTTCAATCAAGTTAAGCATTTGCTCTACCACTGAGTTACACTACTAGACTATTTTTTTAAATTAAAGTAATGTTGGATTATAACATTATACAGGTTTCAAGTCATAAATGTCAATATGAAATACATTATGTTCACCATTAAAAGTCTAATTCCATTCTTCCCCATACCAATGACCCTTTTACCTATTCAGCCATCCAAACCCATGTCCCACTTTTATTCTGATGATTACTATTTTGATTTTATATGTTTATGTTAGTTTTACTTAGTTCATTTATTTGTTTCTTTAACTGCCACATATAAATTAAATTATATGATGTTTGTCTTTCTCCATCTAACTTATTCATGAAACATAATACTCTTTACATCCATTTATGTTGTTGCAAATGGCAAGATTTTTTTTATAGCCAAGTAGAGGTTCATTGCATAACAACAAAACTTTTATAAACCAGATGCATTAAATCTGCCTGAGAATTTCCTCTTCAAATGAATATTCAGTTTATTATATCTTGGTTAAGAGAAAATTGAAATTCTTATCAGTGTTCCAACGCCTAAACACACACACACACACACACACACAAAGAAATGTGAACCCTCTAAATTAGTTTTTAAAGATGTAAAGTGTGCAAAAGGGGAAAAAATGCTTTAAAAAATCTCTAGACAGGATGACATAAGAATTATATTATTCTCAGGATAAAAACTTGTAGGGAAACAAATTTAAACTATTCCTCAATGGCATATAAGGTTTTGTGTTAGATATCACTTGACATCCCGTTACTCACTGATTTGCTC